TTTAGGTTGTAACTGAGGCAACAAGAGGGAGAGGGAGGCGTACACTTTATGCTAAAGAACATGGACTAAGGATGTATATATGGGTGTATATACTGTATGTGTGGTAGCAGGCGGTTATTACCTTTGTTTCAAAGTGTGCTATAGTTGTAATATACTGTAGGTAATATACAGGGTGTCTATAAAGTCTCTTTACAATTTCAAAAATGTATTACAAAGGCAATTGATGAGATATTTTCAGCAGGTCACTGTAGCTGATGCATAGCCTGACGCGTGTGAATGGCCTCTATTAGCTTTAGTGATAGCAACAGAAACACTCCAAATAATCCAAAACATAACCAATTGAAATGCAAGGTATTACAAAAATACACACAGGATTTCTCCCAATTCTGGTGGCATCTAGTCCTTCTAGATGAAGCTATTTTCCCAGTATCATCTCTAGAAAGACAAACCAGGGGTCTACTTGAATCATTTTGTTCTTTTTTTCCCTCCCTTGTCTAAAGTGAAGTATAAAAACAGAAAGTAAAAATAAAAATACAGTTTTTCTCTTATTTTTATCTCTATTTTCTGACGTCGGTTTTATTTTGGTCTTTGTACATTTTAGCACATTTATATTGTTCAGCACCTTGTGACTGCTGTCTGTGAAAGGTACTCTGTAAATGAATTTTACTTACTTATTTACATTGTTGAGTCAATAGTTGAGCTCCTCAAATTAAAAGTAGCAGATATACACAGACCCAATATTTTAAAAAAAGTTAATGAGCGTCCTGATTAACCTGAAATGATATTTGCAGCAGTAATACAGTGTGTGCACAGATGGTGACGTATCACTCCTCATTGTGTGTGTCTGTCAGATTGCCTACGGCACCACGGAGAACAGCCCTGTGACATTCCTCAGCTTTCCCCGGGATAACCTAGAGCTGAAGACCAAGACCGTCGGCTGTGTCATGCCCCATGTGGAGGTATGCCACGCTGTGTCTATTTGTTGATTTCCAGTTCGGCCTGCAATGGTGTTGGTGCAAAGGATTGTGGGTGTTTTTCATTTTATCAGGCCAAAATCATAAACCCCGTGTCTGGGGAGGTCGTACGTCTTGGAGAACCAGGAGAGCTGCTGGTAAGGGGCTATTGTGTGATGCTGGAATACTACAATGACGATGCGAAAACGCAGGAGGTCATCGGGAAGGACCGCTGGTACAGGACCGGGTGAGTAAGGCCAAGAACCACACCGGCCAGCTGGAACTTCGACCCAGAATTCCTCTGGGCAGAGTGTGACACAGCAAAGCACCTTTAAATTAACGCTGAGCTGTGTAGCAAACCTGGTTACTTCACGCTAACGCCATGCGTCCCTCCCAACACAGGGACATCGCGAGCATGGACCAGTTCGGGTACTGCCGCATCGAGGGCCGCATGAAGGACATGATCATCCGTGGTGGGGAGAACATCTACCCAGCTGAAATCGAGCAGTTTCTGCATAAACACCCCAAAGTGCAGGAGGCACAGGTGA